AAAAAAAAAAAAAAAAAGTAATTATGGTAAATGCCACGGTCATGGAACAATTCCGTCGGGTATGTAACCGTTATATCATCATGTAACCGTCGGAGATAGTTGATCTAACGGTTACAAACTCCGACCGTAGTATCAAATTTGAGGTACAAATTCCGTCGGAGTTTGTTGAATGGTTATGTAACGAGACAGTAGCATCTACCAGTAAACTAATTAATTTGAGGTCCATTAGATTGGAAAATCGAATTTCAAATCTAGTGTCCCATTTAATAATTTCCTTCCTATTTTTTGAACTGACGACAATTTTGACCAAAAAAATTCCAAATTTCAACAAGAAACTTCGCCCAAAACTTGAATTTCCAGACAAAATATTGTATTCTCAAATTAAACTTATAAAGCTACTAAAATTCGATGAAACTACTTTTGAAACACTCATAATCAAACAGCAACAACAACAACAACATAGTTTTTTAGTCCAAAACAAAAAACGAAAACAAGATTAATTTTTTAAAAAAACTTATAATCTAAACCAATATTTTTTTTATATAAAAAAAAAGAAAAAAAAAAGAAGAATAACCTGGATAAGATGGTGCATCATCAACAACATGTGGCAAATCAAAATTGATGCCTTTAATGGATGGGTATTTGGACACGATCATATCCAGCGTGGCACCTGTCCCTCCACCAACATCCACAACAGTCTCAAGCCCCACAAAACCATCATATATTTCCAGAATTTTCTTCATCACTATAGTCGAGTGATTCGACATTCCTTGATTAAACACTTTGTTGAACCTTAGATCTGTGCCATGGTATTCAAATGCAGTCATCCCATATGCTTTGTTGAAGGGGATTCCACCTTCCAAGACTGCATCTTTCAAGTGGTACCTACGATTTATGAACGGTTCAGATTAATAGACGAATTTCTGTGGCGAGACAATCTAACCGTTAGGATAATATATTAATCGACATGTTGGATGAAAAATGCATGCTTATACTACTATCAAATGTTGTACTGGTTAGGCCGGTCGAACAGAAGACTTAATCCGGACTTTTTTTTTTGGTACAGGGACCTTCCGGTTTCTGGATCCACAGGGGACCCGACTAATCCGGAATCGAGCCGGGTAGGACCACAAGGGCGGCAAAGCTCTCCCTCAAGAGTTTTAATACTGCTGCATTCCCAGGGCTCGAACCCGAGACCACTGATTAAGCTGGAAGAGACCCAAATCATCTCATCCAAGTGCTCTTGGGTTAATCCGGACTTTGAATGTATGTAGAAAAATTTATGGGCCATTGTATATTTTGACCTTGTTTGACAATAAATTGATATATGATTGTATTAGCTGGTCTGTAGAATTCAAAATGCAATTCATCAAATAAACCTTTGGTACATAGCGAAAATTTATAGTTGTTTCGTTCTATTGCTTTTTATTTTTTTATTAAAGAAAAGTTAGTCCTGGTGCGAGAACTGTATTTGATGATATTTTTAATTGTGTATGATGCTATTTTTATTATAACAAATGATAATATAAACTGTGTTGATATTTTTAACCAAATACATACTGATTAAAAAATAGACTAAAACAAACATAGCACTACATAAAATTAAAATGACAATTCTCACGATTCTCACACTAACACTTGGTTCTCATTTGAAGCACGTACAATTAGAGTGTGACTTTTGAAAGAGTAATTAGGAGAACTAATGAAACACAAGAAAAAGGTCACACAAGAATTGGGAAACAAGTGTACCATACGTTAGTTCACCAACTTTAAGAATACTTTTCCAAATATTGTACCCACCATTAGATTAAAAAAAAAA